TCTGGATAAATCACAGATGCAGCGACTCCAAATGATCCAGAACGCAGTGGCTCGGCTTCTTACAGGTACCAGGAAGCGCGACCATATAAGGCCTATACTGGCCTCTTTACATTGGCTGCCTGTTCTTTATCGAATAGACTTGTAAGATTCTTTTATTAACTTATAAAGCCTTAAATGGATTAGCTCCCCCGTATCTTCTGGAACTTTTAAAATTTCAGCCCGTGTCCAGAACCCTACGCTCTAATAATCAGCTTTTGCTGACAGTTCCTCGGACCCGATTAAAGAGGAAAGGAGATCAGGCAGTTCTATGCCTGTTTTAAAGTGCTATATAAATAAATTTGACATTGACATTGACATTGACATTAATTTCCTTCAAATGTTCTCAAACAGGCGGCACAGTGGTGTGGTGGTTAGCACTGTCGCCTCCCAGCAAGAGGGTTCTGGGTTCGAATCCCGGGGGAACCAGGACCCTTCTGGATGGAGTTTGCATGTTCTCCATGTGTCTGCGTGGGTTCTCCGGCTTCCTCCCACAGTCCAAAAACCTGCATGTTAGGTTGATTGGAGATTGGGGAAATTGCCCTTAGGAGTGAATGTGAGTGGTTGTTTGTCCTTGTATGTCCTGTATGTGGCCCTGCGATGGACTAGTGGACTGTCCAGGGTGTACCCTGCCTTTCGCCCGTTGACCACTGGGATAGGCTCCAGTTCCCTCCGCGACCCCAACAGGGAATAAGCGGTATTGATAATGGATGGATGGATGTTCTCAAATAAACTGCTTGTGAATTCCCTTTACATGTATATGAAATAAGCTTTGTGTTTTATTTCCAGAAGATAAACCAGCCAAGTGAATTTCCTCTCACAGTGATGCAGCCCAGTTCTTAAGTACTGCACCATGAAACAATAAGTCAGAGTTTTAGTCCTTCTGGCATCTTTAGAGAAAAAAGTACTTTTAAAATAGTTGTGTCCTGGAACAATTTACTGTCCAGTATGTTGAATAAACTATTGTTGAAACAGACGCTTGTTAACTTTGTACTTATTTTGAAGATTGATGGAAAGATTCCTCTGAGACATTAAGTGACCTAAAGTTAGATGTTTGTTTTGCAGACACTCATTTAGCTAACACACACAAACAACCCTCCGAGAGTGTGAACGCATTCCTGCTAATGATGCGCCTCTCCCAGTTTCACACCTCCGCTCATTAGCGGGACACAAGCTGATGAGGAGCTCAGTCAAAGGAAAATAACCTCCACATGATGCAACGCTTGTATGAAAAGCAAACAAGCAACTTCCAACTTTTGGAAAGTTTGACACAGCTGATGAAATACATCCTCACAGATTTACACTTTTAAAAGCAAAATGTTTGATTTCTGTAGTATGAAAGCTCTCAACATGAAAAGAGAGCAAAATCTTTGCTCGATCATCTGCCTAGTGAGCTTGCTGAGCTATTACACAAAGGGGGATCACAGTTTGTCTTTAAACATTATGTTTGATTGTTTTTGCTTATCTTTTTTTCCCCTTGATTTATCATATGGATTATAGGTTTTGACCCTGATGTGT